GGGACATCCTCAATTGGGTGGTTCCTTTGTTGGTTTGGGGGAGTGTACCCATGAAGAAGCCACGATTGTTTTTGCCTTTCTCCCTCTTCCTCTCTCATTCCCCTCCAGACCTCTCATTCTTCTTTGTCAATTCTGCTTGGTCTATGAAGTATCAGGTGCTACACTGCTCAGCTTGAGCTATGACTGAATCAACTGGCATGTTTCTTCACGTGAGGTGTAGAAGAATTCGTTGGTCTACAGATGTCTACAGCCTTTCAGCGGAGTTTCTTTGCCCGGCTCCCGTTTCCAGGCTGTGTTGATCCGGATGATCCTGTGTTGCAGGACTGATGCGGCCTGACCGAACGACGTGACTACACGGTGTGGATGACTACAGTACCGCAGGTAGCCTTTAGTCCAAAGAGAACAACCCTAGTAGCTTCTTGATCATAGTAGCGATGCCAGGAGCCCCTAGTAGCGTCCTTGCTTGTAGGGGTGTCAGATTTCGCTGAAAGCGTTCGCCATGTAAGGGTGCCAACAGAACACTCACATGGTAGGGCTAGAACCCAACTGGTGAAGGCGAAGGGTTTGTCCGATGGAAGGAGCGGCATTCCTGTTCGGAAGTCTATGCATATTCTTGATACTTCTCGAGTCAAGCAAGGTTCCAGGATGTCCCAAAACTGGATCCAGGTGAATGCACATGGAAAAGTATGGAAGGATATAGAAGGACTCCGCCAGCTGCCATGAGTACAAGAGTGGTGCTTTTGAAAAGGCTGTCGGTTGATCGGTGTGAAAGCCGTGTTTGGTCACTCCAAACGACTGTGGGAGACCGTCTTCTTCTCGCGCGCTCGGGAGGCCTTGCGGGAGCTGATGTCTCAGCTACCGGAGCTCAACCGGGAAGAGGGATGCCAGGCCTCGCGGCAGGGCTCGGTGAGCGTTTAGTGTCTCATGGAAAGCAAATAGCAATAAGCTTGTACCTCTTGGACACATGTCCTTTTCGTTGGCTGCTCGTCATGTTTTTTGGGCATTGGCTGAGTCGCACCGAAAGGTCCCTGTGTTTAGATGAAAGGTCCCTGTCGACGTCGGTGCTAGTAGTTTCCATCTCCAGTACCGTGAAGCTCTGCGCATCGAGTCGAAGAAGTACGAAGAAATTTACTTTTTAAAATCAAGACGGCATGTTGGAAACAGAAAGAACTACTGGGGACGGTTGCTGGATGGTCTCACAGCAGGTGGCCTGCGCCTTGACCTTTGAAGCCTTTGATGACTTGGCCAAAAGTGCTGCCTGGTGGCTCAGTCTGGCGGACATGGGCGACACTCCGGGTGGAGTCAGCCATGATTTTTGGAGACTGCAACTGTCATGGCGGTCCCTCAACAGACAAAAAGCAACCACTGACTGTAACGTGGATTTAGAAGAGTTCATCGCGCTTTCACTTTCAACAGCATGCATACTGTGCCAAACCCAAGATCTTGAAGACCACATGGGCCAAAACCTAACTCTGAAAGAGGGCTTGGAACAATGGTATATGGTATACATGACTGGCTGGTTTCGGAGACATCAGGCAGAGGAGGGAATGTCCATTTGATTGAGGTGCAAGGATGATGTTTCTGTGGTGACCCACCCCAAATCCATCCAAATCCCATGTCATGTGCCAGATATCATTGAGTTAGTCCTGGCTCACGTGCTTTCAGAGGATCTACTCAACCAGATGTGCTTCAACAGGTGACGAAGAGCCCTCCCAGTGGGTCGTTCTGCCAGGTGCGCTTGGCACGGAAAACCGAGAAGCTGGAAGGCGAGATGCGAGACGCCCGGGTGAAGCAGGTGACCGGGTATGCCCAGGTGAACCTGTTGTTGTCGGACTCCAAAATGGGTGAAAGAGAAGTGAAGGGAAAGGTGTAGCATGGTGTACCTCAGTGACTTTAATGACTTACTGCGGGCATAGCGGCATAGGGAGAATTCTTGGCAAAAGGAGATACATTTGTACTCACTAGCATGGAAGTGGGAAACCTCCTGTTTCTAGAGGAAAGTAGTCTTCCAAGGGGCCATTCTCCCCTTCCATGTTTGTGAGTCAGAGTGTAGCTTGAGTGGTTGCACAAAGGAAGACGCATTGAAGATTGAGTTGTGTTCTTCTTGTGAACGACATTTCGTAAGATCCTACTTGATTCACTCGTTTTTTCTTGGAGCGGCATTGGACCGAAGCAACTGCTAGATAACCTCCCAAGACCTGACAGTTACAGGGTATTACAGGGTCACTTGTGAATCCTGAGTTGTTTTCCAGGTGAGTAGAGACATCACTAAAGACTTTTTGGACAATAGGAGACGTACTTAAAACATCTTAAAACCTATAATATAAGTTGAGTTCCCACATCTCGATTCACCTGTGGGCAGATAGCAGAGTTGCTGAGTCTGGGAAAGGAGATGCAAGTCAGGATTTCATGTCGAACATATTTTGTCAAGCGTTTGATTGAGCAAAACTGACCACACCTAGAGTCGGGGCATTCACTACCAACTGAAGCGGGATCAACAACTATTCTGTGAGTCTGGGATTGCAGTTGCGGAGGGTAAGCAAGTCCACCTAACAACTTGCCAAAATGGAAGTAAGGGCCCCACAGTTTTGCTTTGTTCTTGTTGCAATGATGCAGAGGTCATGGTGTGGCTTTGGACAAATTGGTATTTGAGTGTCTAGCAAACTCATGACAAACCTCAGTGGGAAGAATATCAAATATCGATTTCAACAGATGAAACCTTTTGTGTAGCTTATCCAATTGAGGAAAAGCATTGGGCCTGGGCCTTGCGATTTCGATGTTCGAATACTCCTTTATCCCACACTCAAGGGAGCCAAAACGATCTCCCATATTTCCTCTCCTATCAACCAACAGTTTACGGAAAAAAAATAACATATGAAAGCAGTTTTCCTCTTCGATTGTCACGCCCAGGGGTCTTAGCTCCTTTGCTTTGGGGCAAGGTGCCTCAAGTGGGAAGAGCACAGAGCTGGGTGACCGAAGAGGATGAAGACCCATCCAGCTTTTGCCGATTCAGCCTTTTCAGTGTGAAGTTTCGGAATTCAGCCTCTTCAGTGGCATGTGGCCCTTGGGAGTCCTGATCAGGTCAATACCTATATACACCGGTTTGTGGATCTCTGGGAGATGGAGTCGCTTCGATTGCCGAACGGCTCTTGGGTAGAGGTTTGAGGTTTGGGGTTGTAGCACAGGCGGTTTTCGGGCCAGCGGCAAGCGCAAGCAAACACCGTTCGTTTGGAGGACGATGTTCTGATCCCTGAGATGGTTCAGGCAGTTCCCAGTAGCGATGCCCTTTGCTCCTACTAGTAGTAAGGCCAGGAGCCCCTAGTAGCGTTCCCTCCAAAAAGGGGGTCAGCTCGGCACCCTCTCTATAGAAGGAAGATCGTTCACCCTGCGGGATTCTGATCGATCAATCGCGCCGCATGCGCCTGAGTAATTCGAACATGGTAAGGCACCAGAATAAAAGATACAAAGCACTCATCGACACCACTTCTTTGGGTTCGCTTCTTTGTCTCCCACATGCCTTACTTCACCAAGTCGAAGGTCTGAATCATTTGGACTATTGAAGCTACTAAACCAACACAGAAACCATTTTTGACACAGTGAGATGGGGCCTTGATGCTGTATTGAAGCCGCTACGCAGGCATGAAAGGTAGGAAAGCGGAAGAGCAAAGGAGATCAATCCATTGTAGTTGCTGCATGATTCTGGTCAGTTCTCACAACAGCAGCCGCTCTACCATGACACCATGCGCGCAGAAATAGTGGGCACAGAACTTGCGTCAACTCTACGGCGATGTAGAACTAACAATCTCAAAACACCTTCACATTCGCTAAGCCAACGTTGGTCACCCAGTGTCTGATTCAGTCATCCTGGAGACACCTGAGCCCTCGGCGAGGGGAGCCAGACTGGACGATCATGAGACTTGGTGGAGAGATCATTTCAATAGACTTTGAAAGATCGGGTTTGGGGGGGGGGCATTAAGGGCACCAGCACAAATCTTGTGAACAGCACCCTTTTTCCAATAGGCCGTAGATGGCCATAGGCTTCCTTTCTAGAGTGCACGCATCTTGATTGGGTTTTTACTTGTAGATGCTTTTAGATTGCAAACTTTGCGATTTGTTTATGGCCGTTTCTAAAACTTGTTCATTTGTAAGGAGACTTCTTCGGTGTTTCTCAACTAGAAATATCCACATCCAAACGGTTGGCAGATGGCACATCGCTCGTGACCTGAACATCCGTCGAGGAATGTGGTCATCCCGCTGGGCGGCGTGGGGAGTCGCTTCCAGACCGAAGGATACCTCACACGGCCGAAGCCCTTCATCCCGGTCCTGGGAGCCTTGGTCGAAGCCTTTCGACGGGCCGATTCTGAGCAGATGTTCGGTTTCTGGATGTGGAGGGGTCGAGCGTAAAACACAGCATTTTTCAGAGCTGTTCCATGGTTTAGAGTCAGAGGGGAAGATTGATCGGACACCATGTTGCAATGAAGACTGTGACAATATACTAATTGCTTCAATGACTAGAAGACGAAGACACCCAAATCACCAAGTCCCACACCTTCGTTTCGAGCAGAGCTGCGCAAAGCTGCGCTCACCACGAAGGTTCGGTTCGGAGGTTCAGTGGATCTTTGGATCCCTGGATGATCAAAGGGGCACAGAGACGTTCTCTTTTTGACCAACAAACCCAGTAGATTGATTGTTCCTATTCTTCACTCTGGAAGACCATCTGGCCACACCCCTGTGATGATGCATATGCTTGCTGGTGTGTTTGACTCGCAAGTGGTTGGTCGGGTGCAATAGAAGGACCGGATGCTGGTAACATGCAAGAGTCACTCTCCACAGCATTGAGAAGTACATAGAAGTACTCAAATGAGTTGGTGGTTGCAAGGGTGTGAACCTCGGTTTAGGAGTCATTAGGAGTGACTGGAGCCTGTCCACGAACCCACAGAACCAATCAGTGATGTGCATTTCTGACCTGACATCCCACTGCAGACTGCACAGGCAAACCGATGATTCGATGGGTGGTGGACAACCTGTCCCTGTCAGCGGATGATACCTTGGTGGTGATCTACAATCCTGCATGGATGAGCATGAAGAATTTCATGTAGCTCAGCTATTTCTCAGTGGATCCTTCTTGCCTGCAGCAAGCTTTAGCAAGTTTTCAGCTGAATGCAGGAAGTGGTGAGGGGTCTGAAGATTTCCTCCAACAGGATCAATTTGAGCGTGTCGCAGCTTTCTTTTTATGTTCATGGTTTGAACATGTATTTGACATCATTCTTCAAACACGTTGGTTTCCGTTGGACTCCTTTTCAACCGGCTTCCGATTTCATGTTTGTTTGATCCAACTCGTTCGTGAAAACTGACCCAGGGAAGAGCAACTCGCCGATCGGGACTCTCGGGTCAGGCGCGGGTCGGGTCAGCCGTGGAAAGAGGCACCAAACGTGTTGGGAAACAACTTCTATGGAAGGTGGAGGCGCACATCATCTACTCTTCAGTTTTAGAAAGGCCTACAATCACTTTTCCATTCACTTTGGGATCCCTTACAACGTGTTGAATACGTATTTACTATAGACTATATTTGTTTAACGCAGAAGAATGGACTTTTGACTCTACTTTCAATGGAGTCTGGCTTTCGGCCGAGCTGCCAGGCTCGTTGAGCTGCCAGGACCCACGCGGGGCGCGGCAGAGACGGTGCTCATCGGCCTGAAGTCCTTGCCGGAGGCGGCGCAGGGCGCGCGGCGCGCACGCACAGGGGGTGCATGGTGGGTGCACGGTGAAACCGAAGCGGGCTGTTCATGGTTTCAAGATAAGATACTGTGTTTTTTCCCACAAGGGGAGTAAGACACCTGAGACTCCCATTGGTTGGTCTTTCCCTCTACCAAAGCGTTTTCCCGCCCAGAAATCCCCCGGCGAGGGGGCCCCAAGTCGACAGGGGGGGATGCTGCAGTTCCAGAATTGCTTTATCTCGGAAACATCTCGGAAACTCGTGGTTTCACCATAAAATGGTGATTTCACCAATCGATTTTCCTGTCAGATTTTGAACGCCATCGATGTCAGGACATGCTGAAGCGTCCAACCCTTTTGGCCGAGCCTTGGCGACATGAAGCCTTCGTCGGATGCATCGGTACTTCATGCAGCATGGCTCCACACGAGATTCATGCGTTTCTGGGACCATGTTGCGATGACCCCCACAGAAGGACTTCATGATTCATATGGGTTTCCAACATTTCGTTTGATGTGGAAACCCAAGCATGAACCCATCCAAATTCCTTGTTGGGTCCTCCCTTTGACACCACACCTCTGACCAATTGGGCTTGGCAGGTCTCTCCGCGGCTTCGTTGAATTCAACTCGTTTTGGATAGAATATGTCAAAGACATGTCTCTCTTTGGGCCTTGGCCTTTGATGGACCTTGGGGGTCTACGCCCGTCTACGCCATTTGACCGCCGGACGCGACACCGAGGATGGCGACACCTTCTACACCGCCGATGTGGTCAGTCGCTTCCGGGCGGTGGACACTTGGCAGAATGGGTGAAGGATGCGGATCCTGCAAAAAAAATAAATATATACATATATATATATAGACGCCTTTTTACAGATAAGAGAGGATATAGGTGCATAATATGGTGAATCTTTAAAGACCAGCTGTATATCAAACCTGGATGTGGGCCTGAACATGCCTGAGAATGCTTGAGGCCCACAAGGATGGTGGTCTTCACCGCGATTCACCTTGAAATCAATTCTGTTCCCAGTGCCCAGAAGAATTCAGAAGGTTGGCAAAAGACCAGACTTCTCCAAGTATCAGAGGGTCTTTGCCCCTCCAACCTTTGGTCAGCTTGGATGGCTGGTCTTTCGCTGAGCGCCCTCGCGCCCGCAACAAAGCGGGAGGGTCTTTGACGGGCATCAAGCATGAGACATCAAGCACCGTCGGACCATCGGGTTTATCAAAGAACTTGATTTTTTTGTAAGTGGATCTCCTCAAGCAATGAGTTTCACGAAAAAAGTCACCATTTCTCTATAGCGGTTGGTCTCCTGTGGTCTGTTTCTTTTGATGCACACCTGCTCTCTGTTTGACGGCCCCCACCGCATGCAGTAGAAACCGGGGGTGGCGCATCGGGCCCAAGGCCAAGACCCACAATGCCGTCTTTTGCTTCAAGGACACGCAGCCCAAGCCCATCTACAGTCCCTCGGCAGTCGACTCTCGTCCATCGTCCTGCCATGAGCCGATTTGGCGAAAGACACGATGACATGCTTGGCGATGGTCAATTTCATGGAAAAGGCACCAAAAAGTCAAAAAGTTTGTGCAAGTGAGAGCCATAACTGGCTTTTGGGAACTACCAGTAAGTCCAGTCCATAAGTCAAGATTCATGTCCTTGAACTGGTTCAGAAACAATATAGTATCATGATCAATCTTATGAATTTCCAACCATGTTACACATCTATAAGCGGTCACTCACGGACACACACACACACATATATATATATATTTATATGGTTTAAAACCAACCATCACCACCGCAAGCAATTCCCTTTGCTGCATTTGCTTTTAGAGGCTTGTGACGCAGGGTGTGTGCGTGTGTGTGGAAGGATTGAATCATAATAACGTGGAGCAAAGAGTTCTGTATTATTCACGTACAAGCAAGAGCATCTACGTAGATACCACGCACACTCATGTGCACTATACAGTACTACAGTAGCTATATGTATACAGTATACATGTATAATATAGTAATTTCTGTTGTAGGTGTTTTTATTGTGCCCTTACCTTTCAATCACTCTACAGTTCTCGAGCCCTGGCGCCCTATTTATAGAGGTGGCACAGGAAATGCTTCGCATTTGGACCTTCGACAGATCCGTGTCCATTTTTGCAGGTTACATCAAATTGGATATTGCGGACAACATCAAGGAGGTCAAGGCGTGGGGGAACCGCCCATCGCCAATGTGGAGAGTCCGATGCACGTGTCTCACGGACACAAGACACACACGGAGACACACATGGTGTCCGAAGTTTTGGAGAAAAATGAGATGAATGGACCTTTTTTTCTTGGGCTCTCAGAAATAGGACCCCCAAGGACCCACAGGGAGGTTTGAATACATGGTACACTCCCTGAAATCATCAAGTACAGGGGGAGTCCTCAATGTTTGAGCCATAGCTGCATTTTCTCTTTCTCAGTCTGCACTTAGTTTAATCCTCATTTGGAGCCAGTGTTGTGCCTACAACTCCAGGCGACTGCACGGTTGCCAGCGCCGCAAACGCACCAACGACCTCTCCATCAGACGAGCTGATTTTGTGGAAAGGGACATTGAGAGTCAATTGTTCCAGGTTGAAAACCATTTTGTTCACCTATAAACATCATCAACATTCCTCGCCTGAAGCCGTGTGAACACGGACCCACGAAAGTCACAAAATGCTCCTCACTCGTTTTGACAATTTTGGTCATGGCCACCCTGGCTGGCCTGGCTGGTGTCCGATCGTGTCCTCTCCGCTGTGATTTTCGTCCAAAGGTGAACGGTTTTGAGTGACAGGGCTCACAGTGCATGTTCTATCCGCCACAGGAGAAGATCAAGATCAGTGACTGGGCGAACACAGGCGCACCGAAATTGGGACATGAACACTCGGGAAATGGGTGTGTTTCAGACATGTTAAAGCCTAAGGGCCAAAGGCTTGAACAGAGATGGAACAAAAGGTCAACACTAAATCACAAGGTTGTCATTGAGGACATAGAGAACATGTGCAAATTGAGGTGCATCTTGCAAGTTTTTGCGGAACCTCGAATCCTGGAACTCGCGCTCAATGTTGTCAACAGCCTCCGGTCGGCAGGCTGCTACTGCTTCCGCGATGGTGCCGAGCTGGCCCAGGAGTGTGAAGCGCTCATCCGCCGCGGTGAGACGCAACTCAGTCAGGCGCTGCCGGGATCGTAGCGCGATGCGGAGCCGGGATCGATGCTTGAACGGCGCGGCGTGAACTGAGCGGCGATGCTGTCTCGCCGTATTGTAGGGAATGATATATGATATATGGTTGATGGTGTGGGCTTTGAGTGTATCCTGAAGGGTTGAGGTTGAGTTTCGGGTGACATGAAGACTGGCTTCGTGGGATAGGATGAATGGCCACAAGCATTCCAGATGCTTTAAGCGCTCAACTTCAGATAATTCTACTCACCCATTTTCCTCGCAGGGGGGCCAAGAGCTCGCCGCAAAGGGTGTGCGATGGGTGTTTTGAGAAATCAGGAAGCCCAAATCATCCAAGCATATCCAAGCTAAGGGTCCAAGCACATCTGAGCGCATTTTTTTGCTTTTGCGAGGGAGCGACCTCTCGGGAGGGTCACCACAGGGAGCCGGAGCTCGGAGCGACCACGGGAGTTCCCCAGCCCCTTGCTGGTATAGGTCTTCCGTTGTTTGGAACGGTGACCGTCACAATGATCGTTTGGTTATCACTGTAGATCGGTGAAGACATGAAAAGACCCAAGTCTTTGTGGATTTCCATGAATCCTGCGTGGACATGGGTCTGTTGGGCGGCCATTACTACTATAGTATACTATAGTAGCAAGAAGCTACTAGTAGCTCCTGGCATTACTACTAGGAACAAGAATCTACTAGTAACAAGGAGCATTATATACTACTTGGAGGACATGTTGGGCTCAAAGTGGCCGATTCGGTCGCTGGATTGTCGCTGAATGCTGCCGGATGTGAGGATCAGAAGGGCGAGTTCTATACCTCCGGCGTGATCGCAGTAGCTTCGATTAGGGATGGAACGGGGGAACAACGGATTTTTCATGGCTTCACCTGCCTCTCATGGGAAGAGCCCTTAGAGATCCAGCAGTTCTCACATGAAAGATGAAAGAAGGCCCGAAAAACCTAGCGCAAGCTGAGCAAACTACCAGTGCCCGCATCTTGGCAAAAAGGATCCTCCCACCATTTGCAGACACCCATGTCTCTAACTCATGGTGCGATCGGGGGTGGCTTCGCTCATGTCCAAGGCAATGATCGCGCGTGGGGCGCCATTTCGTGGCATCAAACTGGACCGTGAAGACTTCCACGTGCTCGGGACGCCCACACAGGCGTGCTGGACAGTGGCGGGTGAGAGCAGGAAGATTATGTATGTAAGTTTTAGATGGTTTTAGATGGTTTTAGTATAGTTTTAGTATTATATGTTTTAGTATATTGCAATATAGCAGTCTTGGTTACGTTTGTTGCTATCTTTTTTTCCGCCGGAATTGCAACTAGGCAGACACCAGGAACATCTCCAATGATATACCATGTGTGTACTTGCTGTTATGAACTCTCCTTTTAGGCTTATCCTCCTTGACAAGCACAGCAACATTAACCTTTTTTGATCTTTTTTGTCCGCTCCTCCCCAAACGGTTTGTGCAAGCCATAGCCGTCACACGCGTGGCCAAAAAAGAAAATTCAAGGTGGCGGAATGGTGTGCGAAGTGGCCCAACCAGCCCAAGATGCGCTTTGTTTTCGCTCCTCGGTGCGGCAACTGTCAGCAATGCCGTTCAAAAGGTGTCATGTGAGTTGTGTTTCGTTTCTTTTGCATGGCCAGCCTGCAGCAAGCTTGATTTAACATGATTTAACCCCCTTGTCCTCTCGAAGCAGTGATGGGCAAGTGTGCATTTATGATGCTACACTCATCTTAGGAGCAAGCATTGTTTTCCTGTTTCCGATTTCTGGCCGTTGGATTTCTACACAAAAACTCCGGAGCCCCAGCTTCGCGGAGGCATGATTCGCCTGGCTTGAAGTGGACATCTGCACCCATTTGATGCCCCCCACCCCCCATCTTCCTCTCCACTACCGCTGCAGTGGATCAGCTTGCTTTTCACACCATCCGCACCAACAACGACCCTGCGCGCGCATCCGCGCGCGCCCAGGACTTGTATGGCACCTTGGCAGCCAGAGGTCAAGTCGACAGTCTCATAGGCGGTCGAATTTTCACAGAGTGATGTCATGATTGTCACTGAAACGGATCTTAAAGCTACTAGGGGCTCCTGGCATCGCTACTAGTAACAAGGACGCTACTAGGGGCTCCTGGCCGTACTACTAGGAGCGATCGGACGCTACTAGTAACAAGTGCATCGCTTCTAGTAACAAGTGCCTTACTAGTAGTAACAAGGTTCGCTATTAGAAACAAAGGGCATCGCTACTAGGAGCGATCGGACGCCTTCTTTTTTCATTGATGTTTGGACACAAAAGGCACCTTGGTGACGGAGAATGGCAAGGCCATCGAGCGGAACTTGCGCTTGTGCCGTTCCTTGAAGAAGCAGGGCCACCACGTGGCCGTTTGGACAGCTACCGGGTTGCAACACATCGCGAGAGTGGTTTGGGGGTAGTAACGTTTGTTATATTTGCAGACACGCCACCTACACCAACATGGAAGCAAACATAAGCCAACACCTCGCAAATTCAGAGAAAACTCATATTGGCAAGAGGCATTTATATATACAGTATTTGAAGAATTTAGGCATATACAGTATAGTTCCTGATTTTTTGGGTGCTCCATGTTCGTGCGGATCTTTGCATGAATCACATCTAATCGCGACATTTGTACGTCACAAGGAGAGGCCAGCTGAAGAGGGTGCAGCGACCCTGGACCTATTGCAGAGCTTGGGAGTCGAGTGACCCGGATGGAGAAGTTGTTGAAGGGGGGTGACTGGGTGACGCTGACGCCTCTACCCAGCAACAGCTTTGGCATGCTTTGAGACTCCAGGAGAAGAAGGGCACTGGGCAGACTGGGCACTTATACTTATAGCCGATATAGTGCCTATATATAGCCTTCAAATGTCCTTTGGCAATGTCCGAGTGTGGGCTTCCAGGACGTGCAGGATCGACCTGAACAGCTTTCTTCTCGGCAAAGCGGTGCACTTTCCATGTAGTGTTTCCTCATGGCCAATCTCTTAGGGAAATATAAGTTGGCCTCCATTGTGAGCAACGGGACGCAACCCAACAGACTCTCCATACTCATCCGCAGGTACCACGAGCTTCACTTTGGCAAAGTGGTTGGTGACTTCTACATTGACGATCGAGGCCGACTGGATCAGACTCGTTGGTTTAGTGCCGGGATTTGAAAGCATGGTGGGAAATGGATTCGAGGAAGGAACACATCTATGCAAATTGTGGTATCATATCAGGATACATATCAGGATACATAAGGCACTGTCAAACCATACACTGACAGAATGGTAGTCCTTGACTCATTGAGTCAGGAGAAGCATGACAATGCTTCTTGTTTCGAAAGGGGATTGAAGATGACTCCACCCTGGAGGGGCTCTTTGTATTGGATTAGCTTTTCATTGAAAAGCTTGAACGAAGCTCGAACATCTTATATAGTAGAAGTTCCGTTGGCATCCAATTACTTTTCAACGAACATGCTATAACAATATACTGATGCATTAGAAATAGGAGTATGAACTATTGCTGGTAGTTGAGATTATTGAGGTAGTTTCCCCACAAATTGGAAAGACGAGGGTAGGCTCTTTTTCCCGAATGCGTAGCGAAGGGTTCTTGTTTAACTTGGGAGTCTGAGGGTAGAGCTGTGTTTGCCCGACGTCGTTTTCGAGTTCGCAACCGTTTGCAACCGTTTGCAACCGTCCGTATGATGTCTCTATGGCCCTGCCATTGGGGGAAGCTTTTGCAAGTGACTTTTCATGGATGTGTCACGTGTCAGTTTGCGCCGCTATTACATTGTGATTTGCATGAAAATGACATGTCGCGCAAGAAACGTGATGCATTTCGCTGCACAGGCGCAGGGTTTCGTGAAAGTGACACGTTTGTGTCGGTATTCCATTGGGATTAGCGTTTGGAGAGTCATGTCTTTGGGGTGTTGGATGTGGCCGTGCCATTGGGGTTTGCGTTTCAGGGTGTGGCATCGAAGCGCTGTTTTCGTGACAAGTCTCAGCTGAAATGGTGATTTTGGTGGATGGGAGTGTGCTCAGAACGGGCCGAAATCATTCCAAACGTGTGGTGTGGTGCAAATTTTGTTGAAGCTCACATGAGATGATATTGTCACTTTTCGTGGCAGGCGCAGTACTTTGTGCGGGCTTTGAGGTGTGGAAGTGCGATTTTCGTGGCAGGCGCAGGGAATCGTGAGGTTGCGATGTGTGACGGAGGTGACATTTCGTGGCAGGCGCAGGACTTTGCGCGCGTTAGACGTGTGGACGCGGAAAGATTCGTGGCAGGCGAAGTGAATCGTGAGGTTGTGAGTTGTGGTAGAGGTGACTGTCGCTGTGACATTGGGATTGGCGTGTGAGCGGGTGTTGTTTGGAGGGGCTGGAATCGCGAAACTGCTTGGCAGGGCTGCGCGATGGGTGTGCTCCGATGGGTGTTTCGGCTTGACTTTGGGAGGAAGTCTCGCACGAAACGCTCGTTTTGCAGACTTTGACATGTGAGTTTTTGAGGAAGTCTCGTACGAAACGCTCGTTTTGGAGCCATGACGTGTGACTTTTGGAGGAAGTCTCGTACGAAACGCTCGTTTTGGAGACTTGACGTGTGACTTTTGGAGGAAGTCTCGTACGAAACGCTGCTAGACACTTTTGCTTGACACTCTTGCTTGACACGTTTGCTGGGCACTCTTGCTGGACACTCTTTGCTAGGCAAGAAGTCGTACTAGGATTCATCACTATGCTAAAGATCCAGAAACCCTGCTTCCAACTAAATCGTAGACACTCTCTGTGAATCCCTGCAAACAAATTCCTCTAGCAAATCGGACTAGCGTTGCCTATGCTGCACACGTCTGACGATCACTTTGCTTGCACTACAGTAAAGCCATTTGAAACGCAGCAAGCTTGACACTCTTGCTGGGACACTCTGCCACTCTTGAAATACCATTGCGCTAGACACTAGAGTCTGCAAGCGAATGTTTTTTGCGAGACGTCCTCCAAGAGTCCGACGTCAAGTCTCCAAAACGAGCGTTTCGTACGAGACTTCCTCCAAAAGTCACCCGTCAAGTCTCCAAAACGAAAGAGGGTCAAGATAGAGTGTCTGGCAAAGAGTGTCAAGAAAGAGTGTTAAGCAAGAGTGTCCAGCAAGAATGTCTAGCAAAAAGTGTCCAGCAAGAGTGTCCCGCAAAGAGTGTCAGGCAAGAGTGTCAAGAAAGAGTGTCAAGAAAGATTGTCTAGCAAAGAGTGTCAAGAGAGAGTATCAAGCAAGAGTGTCCAGCAAGTGTGTCTAGCAGAGTGTCAAGCAAGAGTGTCCAGCAAGAGTGTCCAGCAAGAGTGTCAAGCAAGAGTGTCAAGCAAGAGTGTCAAGAGAAAGTGTCAAGAAAGAGTGTCTAGCAAAGAGTGTCACGAAAGAGCGTCAAGCAAGAGTGTCGTGTCAAGACTGTCCAGCAAGAGTGTGAAGCAGGAGTGTCCAGCAAGAGTGTCAAGCAAGGGTGTCAAGAACAAGTGTCAAGAAAGATTGTCTAGCAAAGAGTGTCAAGAAAGAGTTTCAAGCAAGACTGTTTAGCAAGAGAAAGTCTCGTGGAAAATGCTCGTTTTTGGAAGCTTCGATTGTCGCTTCTGGTGAAAGTCTCGTGAAAAATGCTTGTTTTCAAGAGTGTCAAGCAAGAGTGTCAAGAGAACGTGTCAAGAAAGATTGTCTAGCAGAGTGTGTCAAGAAAGAGTGTCTAGCAAGAGTGTCGTGTCCAGAGTGTCCAGCAAAGAGTGTCCAGCAAAAGTGCCAAGCAAGACTGTCCAGCAAGAGTGTCAAGAAAGAGTGTCCAGAAAGAGTGTCTCGCAAAGAGCGTCCAGCGAAAGTGTCAAGCAAGAGTGTCCAGCAAGAATGTCAAGAAAGAGTGTCCAGAAAGAGTGTCTAGGAAAGAGTGTCCACCAAGAGTGTCAAGCAAGAGTGTCTAGCAGAATGTCATTTCAAGATTGTCCAGCAAGAGTGTCTAGCAGAGTGTCCTGGCAAGAGTGTCCAGCAAGAGTGTCTAGCAAAGAGTTCCCAGCAAGAGTGTCAAGCAAGAGTGTCTAGCCAAGAGTGTCAAGAAAGAGTGGCCAGGAAGAGTGTCAAGCAAGAGTGTCTAGCAAAAAGTGTCAAGAAAGAGTGTCAGTGGCAAGCGAGAGTGTAAAGTAAGAGTGTCTAGCAAAGAGTGTCAAGAAAGAGTGTGTAGCAAAGACTGTCCAGCAAAAGCGTGAAGCAAAAGTGCCCAGCAAGAGTGTCAAGCAAGAGTCTTCAGAAAGAGTGTCAAGAAAGAGCGTCCAGCAAAGACGGTCCAGAAAGAGCGTCAAGCAAGAGTGTCGTTTCAAGTTCGTTCGGAAGATTGTCTGCACTTGCTGCGTTTCAAATGGCTCAGCGAGCACCTGTGAGTAGGCAAATTGTATCGGCAATGACATATTTGGTAGTAAATAGAATGTTGTGTTTCAAGTTCGTTCAGAAGATGCTCACACATACATGCGTACAGTCAACACACACACGCAGACGCACACAGACGCACATTGGACGCATTATCGGCAAAGACATTTTTGGTAGTAAATAGACTGTTGTGTTTCAAGTTCGTTCAGAAGATGCTCACACACAGACGCGCACACACACACACACACTTATGGAAATGCGTACTGGCTTGACAGCGGTGCCACACGCCGGCCTAGGTTACCATTTCCTAAGGGTACAGGTAGACCAAACCAATAGCATCGACGATCACGCGACAGGTTGACGACGTGCGTGCAGGACTGTGACTCATCTCCAGGTTCAGGTAAGTTAAAGATCTCCAGAGCTCAAAACGAAAAACGGACGAGCGACAGGATGACGGCGAACCGTGCATTAGCCCTTTATGAAGTACCTGAAAGCCTAAACACCTCCTGGAACAACATCAGGTACATGAACCACCATGAAACAAACCAAGGGACCACAGCAACCAATCAACAGTTCAACAATAGCAGGTACGTTTTCACCTCCCTGGCGCGCGGTCTTCGTTGGCCAGGACGCACGCCAGGGAGTCCTGGCCCCCTGCTGAAGAAACAATTCAACTGAATCCCTGTGACTACAAGGGGCACACACACACACACCTCCCCGAGAAAAGGCGTATCGACAAAGTAGTAGCAAGGCCAGGAACCTCTAGTAGCGTCAAAGTAGCGTCCTAGCACCTATAGTAGGAAGGCCAGGAGCCCCTAGTAGCAACCCAAGCTAAGGTCCCGACAGGGGGGAGGGGTAGGGAGAGACGAGAAAAAGGAAAGAGAAGAAAGGAAGGTGTTCCCAGCTACGACGCATGCGTCCAAGGACACACCAAAGGAGGAGCGGAGAAGGGTTCTCAGCTATGACAAAGCATCCAGGGACACCCAAGGAGGAAGGAAGGTGGAGAGGAAAGAGAGAAAGAAAGAAAGAAAGAGAGAGGGAGAGAAAGGGAGAGGAGAGAAAAGGAAAAGGCAGGTGTTCCCAGCTACGAACAATCGTCCAGGGACACACCAAAGAAAGAAAGGGGCGATCCTGAGTCTTCCATTCAGGAAAACCCCAAAAAGCAAGGAAAGAAAGGGGAGGGAAGGGGAAGGAGGGGGGACTAAGCTCGCGACAGGTTCCAATGAACCTTGAACAAACTTCGGTCGCTGCGACCACGTACGGCATGCCCGAGGGCGGCCACCTCTGACCGCTGCGGTCACGTAAAGGCATGAGCCAACTTGGAATTCCAAAAATGAGACAAACATCCC